TTTTTTTCGAGACAGGGTTTATCTGTGGCTTTGGAGCCTGTCCTGGAATTAGCTCTGTAGACCAGGCTGGTCTTGAACTCACAGAGATCCGCCTGCCTCTGCCTCCTGAGTGCTGGGATTAAAGGCGTGCGCCACCATCGCCAGGCTAAGATGACTCTTAAATGAATGAGGGTCTCACATCTCCAAGTTGTTACTTTCTGTTAATGTGTAGAAATACTGAACAACCATTACAGGAATGCAAGTGATTTGGAGCACAACAGAAAAACAATACAACAAGATATGAAACAAAACAAAGTGGAAAGAAGAAAAGATGTTTTTAAAGCAATGAAAAAGATAAATTTTAAAACCATTTAAATATGTTTTTAGAAATATACTTAATTTTCTTAAGTGAGGGAAACAATATTTTTATTGTTTTCAATACTTTTTAGTTTTTGTAATAAATATAACCATATAGTTTTCCTCCCTAGCCTACCTCCAAAAATTCCTTCCATAGTCTCCTTTTCAAGATCCTCCAAATTCACGGTCTCTTTTTCAATAATTGTCACACATACGCGAGCACACACATAAACATTCAGATAAATGTTCCTATATGTAAATATATAGGGATATATATATCAAATAGATACAGTTATTTTGAAATATATATATACCATATAAATTTAGATATTTATTTGTATGTATTCATAAACACATAAGTACAAACTGCTTAGTGTATATATAATGCCACCTGTATGTATGTTTTCAGGGATATTTGGTATTGGATTACCAACTCAATTTACCTCAAAATTTGTGTTTCTCTGTCTCCTATCCCTTTCTATCAGTCTCTTGAATTCATGTCATCCAGAATTAAAGTACAATTGAGTCTATTGGGAAAAAATTAGAAATAATTCAATGTTCTATCATCTTTGATCCTTCATCTTACTTATTTAGAACTTAAATGGATATTTTCTGCCTAAAGCACAACCATGACCTTTGGAGACTTTGGTTAAGGTACAGATTTTTTTTTTCATTCCTTCAGTGAGCTTTGAGGACAGCGACTAAAGGAAATTACATTCATGATTGGGTCTGAGAACCTTTGAGTATTCAACTTCTGTCTACAATCATCAGTTTGATGACATTTGAGCTAATTTGTGTTTACAACACAAAAATTTCTTTATCAGAAGATACAATATAAATGGCTCCACTAAACCATGTTAAGCATGGCAGCGCAGACATTAGGTGAGGCTTATGAAAACTGACTCAGGGGAGAGGCATAAGTAATGGCCAAATTTTATATTAGAGTAGGATGGATGGGGATTAACAGGAAAAAAAATGATGTAGAAATTTTGAAATCACCTCTTATCAGTGAGAACGTGGGAGAAAGAAATGAGGGATGATAAATGCAGGATGACAGAGTGGGATAGAAAATGAATTGAGGCACAATAAACAAGGGAAGAGACATGGCTTCAATGGGGGTTCCATCACCAAGAATAACCCAGTCAATTGTATTTCCATTTTTCTTATAAATACTGGATTAAAATTATTCACATATGTGTACTTATGTTTCCACTATTATTTTGTTCTCATTCTACTATGTATTTTTAATTTCAAGTCTATGTGTGGTCTAGAATAATGAATTTTGACACATTAATTCTGGACCTAAAGTTCTGGATACTGATTACTTTTCTTTCTTTTTACTCAAAATGAAGAACATGTATTTGTTTGTATTTTAATATTTACATGTGCTTGCTTTTAAAATGGGAATATTTTTAAAGAAGCTTCACAGAGTCACACGTTTTATTTATTTCAGGTTTAAAGCACAAATATTTCCCTTTGACATCTCTCTGATTATTAATTCTATATATCACCTTAGCTCCAACACAGTACACAGATACTTGTTTGAATACCAGGATTGATTTTGCTGTAAAATATTTTTAAATACACAATTAACATTTAACCCAGGAGACTGAAGAAAGCAGCTTGTCTTCTATAAAATGGCGGGGCCTCACCCACACAGTTGGAAATTTTAGAAAAGAACAGACTGGAGCCATTACAGCAGAAGGAATTCTGCTTGCTCTTCACCTACAGACACAAGTTACTTGAACTCTTGGGTTTCCCACCTGTCCTCTACCTATCATAAAACAATGGAAAAAACAGATAGATGCAGATTCATCTTAAACATTTAAGAATCGTTTAATATAACTTAGATTGCTGGCAAGTCCTTAGTAAGTGGTTGTTGTTATTTTCTAACCCTTACTTAACTTTACTCCAGTATGCACACAGGCAATTTGCTTCCAGCTTAAAGGAATCATATATATATATATATATATATATATATATATATATATATATATATATATATGCACACATATGAACCATATTTCCATTATGAAAATATTAATGTTATATATGTCCATTATGAAAATAAGAAATAATTTTTCATGATATATACATTTAGGGAAATGTTTGCTTGCCATAAGTCATTCACATTTAATTTTCCAAACTCTTTTCTCTGAGTAGCTCTTTAAACTCCCACATCCTTCAGTAATCAGGAAGACTCCTGCTGTCCTGCTTCCTAAATCTTTGATGTGGTAATTACTTGGCTTTCTCATTGTGGCTAATGTGGTAGCTTTGATGTGGAATTTCATTGTTGCTTACCTTTCTTTTCTATAATTACTATGAAGTTTGTAAACTAAATATTCGTTTGTCAGCTTTCCCTGT